CGAAAGGGACTATACTGGACTGTGATGTTCATTACTTTTTTGTACATTTGTTTAATGAAATTATTGCTCTGTCACTGTTGATATTATAAATGTTTAAAAAAAAGAAAGAAACATGTGAAATCAATAGTTAATGTTTTGCAGGTTAGGTTAGCTGAAGGAACTGTTACTGCTATAAGAAGTCTATGATGCAATCCATGGAAATTTCCCCTTCCATCAAAAGTTTCATACATTAAAAAAAGAACCTAGTTATTAATACAAAGAGGAAAACAACAACAGTTCAACTCAGTTTCAAAATAAACAATAGTTTTAATATTGCAAATGCATTTTTGAAAATGGATCAATGTAGAGAATTGTTTCCCTCTTTACAGTATATCTTCAGCTAGTAATATTATTATAACCAGTATGGGTTGTTTTTGATCAACATTTTATATTGTTACTCATATTTCAATGATCAATGATTAGAATGTTGTACAACTTCTAAGTGTAACAAAGGACATCAAAAGCAATGCCCTAGACACTGACAGTCAAAACAACTTGCTGTAAACTCAGACATGAAAATGCTATAATCATTTTGAGTGTGGGGCTATTATGCAATGTAATAGACTTCTATCATAAATGGTGGGACCGGCCTATTGTTATTCTTTTATATGCACGTAAATTAGCCTTCCTAGTCTCGTCGACATGTGTAACAATACTAGAATTTTCACTCAAAATCGGGACCAGGAAGGCTTATTTGCATGTACACAAAAGGATGGTAATAATGCCTGCTATTTATGAAAGAGGTGACTATGAAATAATTCTAGAGAGTAACTTTCTTCAACTACAGTTTGCAGTAGTTGTTGTTATAGTATCAAACTCATGGTTTCTGTTCCCCATTATCAAATACACGTAAAACTGACTGAATGTTTTGCAACTGCTCTGCTATTTCAGCCAAACTAGCAGATTGGTAGCAATTTTGCTGTAAGTTTGTGCAAAGTGGATAGTACATGCATGAATAGTAATAATAGCAATAATGAGTTTTTTAGGGTTTATGAAACTTTCCCCGTTTACTTCTCTAGCCATAATTTCTCACAGAATGCATCTCTGATTCTGGCTGCCTCCCGAGAAGCATTCCTTATGCTTAGACAGTCTCTCATCTGCAGCAACTTTCTCAATTCGTCCCTGTTCCTCTTTCCACCACTTTCATCAAGAGACAAATCAAGCTTCCTTGAGATGGCATCTCCCTGCATAATACAAGTATTGTGAAGCACCATGCATGCTAGAGTGGTTATGCGGGCTTGATCTCGGCTGCTTTCATTTTTCCTGAATAGGACCCTCCACCTCCCCTTAAGTTGACCATATGCAGCTTCTGTGACCATGAGCGCTCTAGACAAGCGATAGTTGAAGTAATGCTGCTGAGGTGTCAATACAGCATTGGTATATGGTTTCAGTAGCCAAGAACGAAGGGGAAATGCAGAGTCTCCAACAATGAGAGGCAGGACAGTAACATCCCTCACAGTTTTGCCAATCATTGGAATAAAACCTTCTTTTATCAAGTTCCAGAGGTCCGTTGCACGAAAAATTACAGCATCATGTGAGTTACCCGGGAAGCCTCAGCTGCCCCATAAAAACCTCCAATGGGAATCTACTAGCCCCATTAGTACTATGGAATAAAAGTTTTTAAAGTTATGATACTCCTTGCAGGCTTCTAGTCCACCAGGAGGGCACTTAATGGGAATATGACAGCCGTCTATTGCTGCCCAACAGCAAGGGAATTGCCAAAACTCATCCATATCTAACATTTTTTTCTTGAAATCATCCCGAGTCTTGGGCATATGACTGGACACGCACTCACTCCACAGATGGTCCACAAGGACTTGACAGAATTCATTTACGATAGAGCAGACAGTAGATACTCCAAGACCTGCCATCTCTGCAATGGTATAAAAATAATCTCTGCGGCCTAATCGATATAAACAAAGCACTAGCCTCAGTTCTGGGAAAATTGGATCCTCTGTCACAGTTTCTCTAGCAAGAAATGGGCCGATGCGATTTAATATGTACCTGAACGTTGAACGAGAAACCTGAAATGTTTTCTTAAATCTTGCCTCCGAATAGTTATTCCACTTATTCTCCCACCATTCAATGTTTCTAGTCAACCAACGACAGGAGCAAGACACAGGAGCGACGTTGTTTCGTTGTGATGAAATCAACAGTAGAAGAAAACAAACATTCAATACTTTCCTCCTCCATGCAGGTAGGTTTTTCAACACCATTTGCAAGCTTTGGCGCCTTCTTCTACTTTCACATATGGCATTAACGAGAAGAAATTCTTCCGGATAGCTTACAGTGCTTTTCTCCGCCATCTCTGCCATGTTGAATCCTCTTGGACTCATAACAGTAACCGCTGACCATACTGGTCATAGTTTATTGTTCAGGTTTTTTGGTTCGACTCAATTAAGTTCGATGTCTGAATCAACTGTCGAACTTAATTATTTAGGTCGACTCAAATAGGTATTAGGTTCGGCACACGTAAAGTTCGACGTTTAAACCAGGCCTAAAGGAGCTGTTTGTGTCTTCGCATGTTTATCAGCAAATCTTGCTCTCCAAGAGTTCTTTCAAGCAAGTAATTTTTGCTTCACTTGAACAACTAAACACCAACATCCAAGGAATCTCTCGTTGTTTTTTACTACCTTCATGGCAAATTTGTCGACTGCATTATCAGGCTCCTGTTCTGCATGAAGTTTTTTTGCCTATTGCGGGTTTTCAAACATCTTTGGAAAAGAACCTGAGTCGAAAGGCCCAGACTCCTCCCAACATTTAAAGCTTGGCCACTAAGCACTTGTTTGTTTGGTTTTTTTTTCAATGCCGAAGGAATTTCAACTTTATGGTGTGTTTCGAAGTGATAATCTTGAAAAATCAGATCGAAAGAGCATTTTAAGTTAAAGATGGTGTAAAATTCCAATGAAAAAGAAGGTACGACAAATGAAATTTCGCTTTCTATAAACTTGATAAATGTGAAAGACAGCCACAACTTCTATGTGGGTGTTTCCAAACCTTGATTGTTTGTAGCAATACAACTCTACTGAAACTTCAAACTGTATTGTTTCTATTTTTTTCCAAATTCTGCGCTTCCAAATTGGGGGTGCGGCTTATCTACGGATGTGGCTTATACATGGACGTTTATGGTATGCCAAGTTCTCGAATCAGAAACCCCAGTCCTTCACAATTCCACCTTGTTTTAACGAAACTGACCGAGCTTCAAGAGAAATTGAACACAACGGATCAATCATCAGTCATAGCGCAGCTGAGACGAGTGAACAATTCCCTTCAAATTGTTGAGGGAAACCAGACTGATATTTCCGATGCCATTCTTAACAAGCTCCTGAGTATGGAGATGCGGATCAAGACTGGTTTCAAAGCCTTGGAATAGAAGATCGCAGCTTTAGAAAAAAAAGTCATGGACTGTCCAGCAATTGCAGAGGGAAGCGCTACTGGAATGCTAATGCCACCAAGCTCTTCAAAGAAAAGAAGAATCGCCTGCCACCCTGATCTCTCAGTGAGTAATCTTAGTCTACAACTTAAACATTGTCCTTAGTACATGTTTCTTACGCTGCTTGGATTGATATGATGACTTGTACTCAAGAATTTTGCAGCTTGCTTACCAAACTCAAAAGCTGGTTTTAAAATGCGTGCCATAGAAGTTTTCAATTTCTCACACCTTTTGTTCGTCTTGCCGCGCAACCCCCTGTATGTGTTTGACAGACTGCTTGTGTCCTCTTTCAAAGGTACCAAGGAATCTTTAATAATCATTTCTTTATTGTTCAGATTAGAAATGCAAGGAACCTGCACTTTTGAGTACTAATGCACTGTGATTGTTCACAGCACTATATCCGATCAAAGATGGAACAGTTGGGCCTTTCATAGAACACTGACAAGAAGTAAGCTTAAGTTTAATAATTTGTGTTTAAACTTATATAGTTTAAGCTAGTGTAGAAACAAAAAAGTGTTGAAAAGTAAAAAATGTTTCTTTGCTTGAAATGTCTTCCTTTGGATGCTCAAAGAAATTCATTGATAGTGAGCTAACTAACTGATTGTGTAGTTTTCATTTTCTTTCTGTTTGCATGACCACTTTTGTGGTTCATGCTAACTGGCAAAATTTTGACAGCTCAGACAGCATCAGCTTGAGAGGTTTTTCAATTAGGTTTGCTATTCAATTAAGATAATCTGGATTCCACTGAATACCTTATTCTCTAGCTTTATTGAAGTTGCATACCTCCTAGTTAGGATTTTGAGTTGGATTTCTGTTGGGACTTTAAGTTGAATTTTTTGAGTCAGAATTATTACTGAGTGCACAGTCACTCAACTCTCTTCTAGGGACCAACTATTATAAACTTGCTATATTTTAGCACAATGATACAGGTGATGTAGGTCCACCATTTCCACTTTTTCATTCTGTCTGAATTTAGTTTTGAATTTGGACAATTTGCTAGTTTCAATGTTTTCACAAGCAACCACCTCACTTGCCAAATTGGCAAGAGCGTTTGAAGACTGTAAACATATACATGTATGACGTTTAATATTTTGCAGCCTACATTTAAGTTATTATGGGAAGTGAATTTTTCTGGAAATATTTTGTTTTCATTGACCACTATTTGGCAGCTATGTCCAGGATTCAATGCAAGTGTTTTTCCAGTAAATACTTCATGTATGAAAGAGTTTTTTATCATTTTCACTGCACTTCATATTTGACAGAATTATGTGTGTTTGGTTGAACTTTTATCAATGAGGACACTTAATCATGCTTGTGTTAAAGAGCCTGAAATCCTGGACATATCTGCTATTTGGAGGCAGCTACAATTTTTACTCTCTTTAGAGTTCTCTAGTTCTCCATCAGATGGAGCACCCCAATATTTTCCTCAGTTTACGTAAATATTTTCTTTTGAAGATAATATTTTTACAAGTTTCAATGTTTTTTGATTTGGCTCAAACTGTTAAAATTGATGATATATCAGAGTTGAAGAGACACAGATTTCACAGTTAGGGTTTTAAAAAACTATGTTTGAAGTGCAGCTAGTGATACTTTTAGTCAATTGAATTTGTTCTTCAGTTGTAGTTTCAAATAGATCTGATGTCAGCACAAGATTTAATGTGAGGTGGCACTATAAGAATGTTCGCCTTGATTCCCTTGGTTCATAAAATTCACATAATTATTTGTTCTTCAAACCTCTATTTCACAAAATGCTTGATATAGAAGTTTAGACATTGGAATATGTATATAGAAATCAGCTTTCTGGTTATAGTTTGTGTATATAATTTTTTCAGACAGTCATCCTACCAATTCAAAGTATCGATTATACTATTCTACGGGTTTAAGTTTTGCTTCTTTTTTGGCTTTAGAGAGAAAAAATGTGTAAAGTAAAATAATAGCAAGACTCAAAGGCTGAAAAACATGATTGTTGTCAGGTTCCATTGTGAACTCTGCATAAATTGTACTGCTAACATCACTGTTCACTGTTGATTCCCTTAGTTCATAAAATTCACATAATTATTTGTTCTTCAAACCTCTATTTCGCAAATTGCTTGATAAAGAAGTTTAGACATTGGAATATGTATATAGAAATCAGCTTTCTGGTTATAGTTTGTGTATATAATTTTTTCAGACAGTCATCCTACCAATTCAAAGTATCGATTATACTGTTCTACGGGTTTAAGTTTTGCTTCTTTTTTGGCTTTAGAGAGAAAAAATGTGTAAAGTAAAATAATAGCAAGACTCAAAGGCTGAAAAACATGATTGTTGTCAGGTTCCATTGTGAACTCTGCATAAATTGTACTGCTAACATCACTGTGCATCAATAAACTTGTTGAGAATTATTAAAAGAGTGCTTATCTTGACTGGGAGAGGGAAATGGGACAAAATTTTTTAGAACCTTTAGTATGGTCGAGTCTAGGAGGTGAAATCCATTGGAATGAATTTGAAGAACAGTGATTAACCAAGTGGCAGTAAACGCGAGAAAATGCATGCCTTGCACGAATTAATTCGAATTCACCGTTGCAGAGAAATTACCAGAAAATGCATGTTTTACTGGTTTACTCCAGTGAATATGAAGTTGGAGCGTGCAAAATGGCTGTGAATGGCAGAATAATTCTTATTTTCCATGGGTTAACCAAACAGTAATAAATGGTAAAACGCCAGAAAATGCATTTCATCGAATTTGCTCAAATTCACCATTGGGAAGAAATATTGGAAAATGCATGCTTTCAACTGGAAAACTCTTGTGAACATTTCGTTAACCATGTGAAAAATGGTTCTGAACACAAGAAAACATGACATTTTCTATGTGTTATACAAACGGCAAACACAGGAAATCATTACGTTTTCTTGCATTTACAAACATTAATCTTCCAGGAAAATACATGTTTTCAGCCGCTAACTCCAGTGAATGCATTGTTGTACATTAGGAAAATGTCAATGAACAAAAGGAGAACAAGCTGTTTGCGGTGTGTTAACCAAGCAGTTAACGCTGGAAAA